GACAAGCACCTACTCACTGAACCTGCTTGAAATCAGATAAAGGAGCAGTGAGGATGTGTTACTTAGCTGCCACTGTGACACTGGGAGAGTAGTACTACCTGTAAGGACACAAGTCCCCAGATGTGACATGCTCTATGGCCTTCCTCCAGGATGTGCGGTTTAGTGTTATTACACAAACCTCAAGTGTATCTCTAAAATTAAGCAAGAAGGCAATGCGATGAGACCTGAGCAGTCAGGCACTAGGGCTGGAGAGAGAGTTCAACGGCTGGGAGTGCATACTGCTCTTAGAGAGGACCTGAGTTCAGTGCTGAGCGCCCATGTCAATCAGCTCACAAGAGACTGGAACCCAGCTCCAGGGGACCTGACACCTCTGGTCTCTGGCCTCCAAGGACACCTGCCCTCACATGTACATATCCACACACATAATTAAACACTACTAAATCATAAGGAATGAAGACGGAGAAAGGATGGGAGCGACAAGTCCACCCTCGAGGCAGACTGACCAGACACAAAAGTTACTACTCATAAAATTAAAAAAAAAAAAACCATAATTGCCTGTGAGATGGCTCAGCAGCAGGTAAATGGCCTGTCATCAGCCTGATGATCTGAGTTCAATCCCCGGGACCCACATGCTGGAGAGAACAGACTCCCGAAAGCTGTCTTCTGACCTCTACACAGGCATGGATACACACATATCCAAAAGAAATAAATGTAAAAAATAAGATAAAGACTAAAGTTTACTGAAACTCCTCAGTGCTTCTTAAACACTTCAGATAAACTCACTTCATTTTATCCTTCCTCCCTTCCTCTGGTCATTAGGACAACCGTCCCATAGTAACTGTCGTTTCCATAAGAGTCTGACCACACAGACCAGGATAGAGGTGACAGCGGATTAACGTTGGGGCAGAATTATGATCTGAGTCTCTTTCCTTTGATCCGTTTTTCTCAGCACAGGGGAGAGGTAAGGCCGGGAGGAGTGTCTCCCAACGGGATCACCTGTAGCCGAGATGAACTTGTTGTAGTTCTCATAGACCAGGGTCTGCATGTCGCTGTCTAGAGCCCGGATCTGTCGCACCATGTCCGTCTCACTATCCATCAGCTGGGCCAGAGGACATTCTCTACGCAGCTAGAGAAGCAGTTAGGAGCAGTCAGTGTTAGTGCTCAGTCATGGCCCCCTGCCCTGCCTTAGCTTAGCTAGCTTTCCGAGTAAGACAACAGTGATTTCCCCCTTTATTAGGATTCCAGATATGGAACCTTTAAGTGACATACTTCAGGGGTTACTAGATTAGACCCAGTTTGGAATTTGTCAGCTTTCAAACTCTTCAGGCTCATCTTAAACTCAACCCAGGTCCAGTCTAGAGCCTGTCAGGACATGGCCACGCCCACTACCCGGGCCTATCAGAACGTCAGAGTCGAGACCACAGACCCTATATCCCCTCCCGTCAGTCCTGGTTCAAAGCTCGCTTAGCCTCCAGGTCTGCCCCTATTGCCGGTAAGGGCTGTCCTCCTTTTACGAACTCTCGCTCCCCTCACCACATCAACTAACTGCGGGGCATGACCTAGGGTCCAGTATATTGGGGGTCTGGACCCGCCCCACTTCGCACACACACCTTGTCCAGATAAACTTCCGGGTCGAAGTGCGCCCCATTGAGATCTGTCGGATCTAGAGAGTCAGGCCCCGCAGAATGCCCCGCCGCCTCCCCTTCCGAGAGGCCGTAGTAAAGCTTCAGCATCCCGTGAGTCTTCCGCCGACGTCCTGGAGCGTCCGCCTCGGGTCCTTCTGGAGAGTCCCCGGGCCCGGGCCCCACAGCTGCTGCTGCCGCCGCCATAGCTCCAACCGCAGCACAAGGAGATGAAGTTGGGGAGGGGAAGGGAAACACTTCCGGGAGCCATAACGTAGTTGAAACCAGGCGGTCCTTTAGGTGAAACGTTCCTCTACAGCTATAGGACGTGTGAGACTAAAGTTCCGCCTTGCGCTTCTGGAGTGAAGAGGTTTCGCTGGGCTTCTGGCTCCTGTGACTGTGTACTGCTACAAAGTGGGCGAGTCCTGGCGTCCCACTCCTGCATCCCGACAGGAAAGACTCATGGACTATGTGCCTAGATTGACTGAATGGGCATTACAAATAGGGAATATGCTTCACAGGAGGTCTACGAAGATCAAGTGTCCATTCAGTAGTCTATACTGTGGCTCTAGGGCACTGTTACCCAAAGTCCTGTGGGGTTTCTGCTCACATTCAATATGAGAACCTCTGTTCTATGGTGCTTATAGAACAGACCCTGTAAACCTGAAGTGGCTGGAGAGATGTGCTGAGTGAGGAGCTGGGATTGAGGATAATTCCTCAATTTCTGATTTAGACAAAAGACTCAGGCAATCACAGAGGCGAAGCTCTCACGAGAGGAGAGAACGAGGTCAGATTGAAATATGCTGAATTAAACAGAAGAAAGTGAGACTTTACCAGTGATGTATGTAAACTTTGCCGAGGATGGCTGCTAGGGTGGTGGTCTGCCGGGAGTCCTGTAGACCAAACACTGCCTACCATCTATTTCCATCTGTAAACCACGATTAAAAAAAATAATAGCCATGCCACACTATTAATTCCAGCACTTGGGAAGCAGAGGCAGGTAGATCTTTGAGTTGGGACCAACCTGGTCTATAGAGCAAGTTCAAGGACAGGCTCCAAAGCTAGAGAAACCCTGTCTTGAAAATAATAATAATAGCCGGGTGGTGGTGGCACACACCCTTAATTCCAGAACTTGGGAGGCAGCACTCTTGAGTTTGGGGCTAGACTGGTCTACAGATCAAGTTCCAGGAAGCCAGAGCTACACAGAGAAACCCTGTCTCCAAAAAACACAATTTTTAAATGATATTAAAATTTATGTGACATCTGATCTGTCCAGTCTCAATACATATTGTCTTTATGTGTATGTAGGTGCCTGAGGAGGCTAGAAGAGGGTGTGTCTGATACCTAAGAGCTGTAGTCACAGCTTGTGTAAGTTTCCCAACATGAATGCTGGGGCCAAACTGCGAGAGCAATACCTAGTCTTCACCACTTTCTTTTCCTTTTTGTTTGTTTGGTTTTTGAGACAGGGTTTCTCTGCTTTGGAGCCTGTTCTGGAACTCACTCTGTAGACCAAGCTGGCCTTAAACTTAGAGATCTGTCTGCCTCTGCCTCCCAAGTGTGCTGCCGTGCCCAGTGCCCATTTCTTTACCTATCGTTTATGGCTGCTCTTGTCACAGTCTAAATGGCCCACAAAACCTAAAGCATTTATTTGTTCACATGGTCTTGGACCAGAAGTATCTTGACTTCTTATTCATTGGGCTATTTAGAAACTGGATATATGAAGATTTCAGCCTATGAAGCTATAATTTAAGAAGGTGAATTTAAGCTGGAGTGATGGCTTAGCAATTAAAAGCACTTGCTCTATCTGATGACCCATGTTCCCAGGTTCACAACTGTCTGTAACTCCAATCCTGGGTGATCCAATGTCCTCTTCTGGCCTCCATGGGGAGCCAGGAACACATGTGTATGCAGACAAAATGGTCATACATACAGAAAAAATAAAATAAATTTAAAAATGAAGAAAACCACCAGGCTTTCATGGTGGTGTGTTCTTACCTAGAGTCCCAGCATCCAGGAGCAAAGGATTAGGAGGGGGTCAAAATCATCCTTAAAGTAATTTTGAGGCCAACCTAGGCTACATAATAGCTGTCTCAAAAACTAAATAAATAACAAAAAGAGCTGTCGAGATGGCTCAGCAGTCAAGACTGGATTCCTGAAAATTGTCCTATATGCACTATGCCATGTGAACACTCTAAACCCACCTACCATACACTGAAATAAATGAACTGGGCATAGGGCACACACCTGTGGACCAGGAAGGTGATTTGTGAGTTTGAGGCCAACCTGGTCTACACAATGAGTTCCAGGGTAAACCAGGGCTGCCTAGTGAGACCTTGTTTCAAACAAACAAAACCAACTCTAAGTTAATTAACATTAACTAAAGGTAATGAAATCTTTAGATTACTTGTAGTCATGCTATAAAAACACACAGGCCTTGGAAGGGCACAAACCAGCACTGCACAGAGACAAGGAGGGCAAAGCACAGGACACAGGTGACAAGAAAAGCAGCACAGACACTGTGGAACTTAGGGACAAGGCCAACTACCTAATCAGAGGGACAACTACATTTTACTGTTTTTGGTTCCCTATGAAATATGGTAGCCAGAACTGGGAGGGGTGAGGCAGATTTGTGGATCAGTTTGTAGCAATCCAGAATATCCTCTGAAGAATGGGCAGTTTAGATTCATTTCCTGTCTTTGCTCATTGAAATCTGTGGTGACAAGGGACATGAACTCCAGTGTTTCAGTTTAGTGAGCCAAAGCTTGGGATTCGGCCAATGCCTTCCCTCCATTGGGAAAGCCTTTGGCTACTCATCTACACACTAACCTGCCTAAAACCTGCTGTGGACTAGTTCGGCATGGTGGCTCGCACCTTTAAAACAGCACTCTCTATTTAAAGACACAAGGATCTCTGAGGCTAGTCTGGTCTACAGAGCAAAATCCTGGATAGCCAGGGATATGCAAAGAAATCCTGTGTTTCAAAACAAAACAAAACAAAACCCAAAACAATACAAAACAATCAAAGCCAAAAGCCTTGTTGTGGAGATAGAACATGCTCCTCCACCTTTCTGAGTCCTTGACTGTTCCCTGTACAATGTCCCCCTCTGTGGGAATACTGAGCTGCCAGGAAGTACAGAGAATAGATTGGTGTGAGCTGTTCAGCTCATTCTGCCTGCCACTCCATAATACTCAGAAACATTCTTCTGTTTGTTGGAATCAGGCTATGTTCTAGAACCTTGTCCTCTTCAATGCCTCCCTCACTCTGGAATACACTACTGTTTCTGCCAGAATACCCTAGAATGGCAGGATTTTACTGTCTCTGGACACTAACCACTTGCTCCAGTTCCTGAGCCTGATTTGAGTCCAGGCCGTGACCAGGATGAGATGGCGGGATCGAATAGCCGTATTCTTCTTCCCTCCAGGCATGATGCTCACCGTAGCTGCATTAATGCTCTTCTTCCTGCACATGGGTGTATTTGCTAGTGATGTTCACAACTTCTGTGTCAGCCACCACTACGACCGCATGAGCTTCCGATACACGGTTGTCCTGATTGTAGGTCTGGGGAGGGAGCTCAAGGGCTGGCTGGGGAAAGCAAAGGGGCTGATGAGAGTGTCTACATTAGGGGTCGCTCTCCCACTGGACCCCTCTCCCAGGTCTCCCAGGTGATCAGCATCTGCTGGGCTGCCATGGGGTCACTCTATGCAGAGATGACTAGTGACAAGTTTCTTCGCTGCTTTGCTCTGATCATCCTGAGTGAGTGGGGAGGTGTGCTTACAAGGAGGGGGAGTTTTGAAACCCTGAGAAGTGTCAAGGAGGGGACAAAACTGTTGAGCTGATGGGCTCTCTCCTCCACCCAGTACTCAATGGAGCCATGTTCTTCAACCGCATGTCCCTGGAGTTTCTGGCCATCAATTACCGAGAGGAGAACCACTGAGGCCTGGGGATTGGGGACAGGGCTGAGACGGGAGATGGAAAAAGCTGCTTCAGGTGTTTTAATAAAGTCTGTTGTTTATTTGCACCTGTCTGCTCTGTTGAGGGTTAAGTAGGAGGCTGGAGACCCAGGAACCAGCAAGTGAAGACCAAAACGACCAACAGGGCTACAGAACTGGCCTGCAGCCTCAGCCTCCAGCTGACTTGGTCCAGGGGATTGTAGTGTCTCAGGACTGAGGAAAAGGAGTAGAGAAAAGCCCCCAGGCCTCCCCGACCTTCTCTCCCCAGGACTTCGGGCCCTAAGCTGGCCCAGACAAGCATGGGCTCAGGAAGGACCTACACGGATGTGAGGGTTCATGAGTGGGTCCAGATTGGGATCACTGTCAGCTGCAGCCCGGCCGAGGCGAGACATAAGGGCAAGGAGTGCCAGGAAGCCCAGGAGCCCCAGCAGGAGCAGGAGCCCTGCCCGTTGGAGCAGAGTCAGTGGCCGCTTCCGGGACCCAGCCCTGCTCCTGAGAGGAATGAGCAAAAGTCAGACGAGGCCCTAGAACCCTGCCCTGGCACAGAGAGAAGTCTTAGCCACTATCTTTGGGCCTTAATTTCCTTATCTGTGCAGTGGGAATGATCACCCCTGTTCCCCATTGGCCATCATCTGGGGTTATTATGAAGCTTGAACCAGTAACACACAAATTGTCCTGGAAGTCTGAACATGAGGGAGACTAATAAAAATCAGGTGGCATCACAGCAGGAAGGGGTCTCAGAGCCCAAGTTCAAACCTCCTGTAAGAGGAAAGGGCACAACCCTGGAAAGGACATGCGTGGTAGGCCTGCCTGCCAGTCAGGACCTCATTATGGCCATGGCCCTGGATGCTGCCAGTGCCCAGAACAAGCCTACTGTCATCAAATTGTCCATCATGGGTCGTTTCCTTTCTGACACTTATCCTGCATGTCTCCATATACCTGAGAAGTTGGGCTAGCCAGCCCAGAGCAGGCCGACGGCGGTATTTGTCATCATCACAATCTCCATGGAGTCCTGCTGTTCGGTCGTCATCCCGGGTGTCATATACCTTCCTTGGGGCTATAGGGATAGAAACACCAGCATGAACAGGCTCAGAGAAACTGGCCCTGTGGCATGCGTGGAGGTGGGACAAAGACTCTCCTGCCCTCCCAACCTCGTGGAAGTGGGACAAAGACTCTCCTGCCCTCCCAACCTAACAGAGCATCTTGTGCTGTGGAACAATGGTCTTTTATCCTGTCACTTGTATTATTTTTAATAAAATGCTGATTGGCCAGTAGCCAGGCAGGAAGTATAGGTGGGGCAATGAGAATTCTGGGAAGAGGGAAGTTTCAGTCTGCAGTCGTCACCCAGACAAAGAGCAAGCAAGATGTGATTGCCTTGCCAAAAAAAGTACCAAGCCACATGGTTAACACAGACAAGTATTATGGACTAATATAAGTTATAAGAATTAATAAGAAGCCTGACCTAATAGGCCAATCAGTTTATAATTAATGCAGACCTCTGTGTGTTTCTTTGGAACTAAATAGATGTGGAACTTGGTGAGATGGAAAACCTTAGTCAACAATCCTGGAAATTGTGGGGAGGTAATATCTGTCCTTGGAGTGAGAAAGAGCCATTCCACACGGGGCTCTTGCCACACAAATCACCCATACTTTTCCATTCTCTTGACTGTGGAAATTCCCCAGCTCACCATGTGTCAGGGCCTCAGTACCACCCATGTGTATGACGGTGTGCTGCTCGGGATGGCTTGGGGAAGAAGGGGGGTGGGGAACCTGGCTGTAGAAAGCTGGAGCAACAGACGTGCTGTCTATCTCTTCTTGCACAGGGGGGTTGGTAGCTGTGGATAGAGAAAGAACTGTCAGTAGAGCAGGGAGGCAAGGCCCACCCAGACAGCAGATGGAGGCCACCACTTACCATTGAAGCTGGACCAGTCAGAGAAGTCTGAGGAATTGAGGGGCTCAGGCTCTGGGCTTACCACCTCATCGATCTGGAGAAAGGAATCTAAGTTAGCAACCTGGCTACTCCTGCTGCTCACCCATCCAATCTGGCTCAGGTGGGGGTCAGGGCAAACAGATGACCAGATAGGCTGAGGGACTCTCACCAGAGGAAGGCCCAGTCCTGCCCGGGCCCAGTTGACCGTGGCCAGCTTCTCTCTCAGTGCTGAAGCCACAGGGCCAGCTAGGTTGGCTGGGGGGAAGATGGGGCCATTACAGCTGGGGCACTGGTAACCAGCAGGAGCCGTGTTTCGTGGTAGCTGGGCAGCTCGTTCGTTGATGCAGGCCCAGTGGAAGAGATCTTAGGACCCATGAAATAAGAAGGAAAAGCATGATAAAGGCAACTCTGGGCTCTTAGCCTAGGCCTAGCAATGCCCCCCACCCTGCCCCTGCCAACTCATTGTAGGAATGAATGGGCATATGTGTGGATACCCAGGGCCATTCTTTTTTCTCTTCACCCCTGGTCTCTAAGGCTTCATTCAGCCTTCTTGTGAATACCATTGTACTAAATCACAGTAGATTAGACTTGGTAAGGAGAAGGTGTGGCTGGGAGGAAAATGCCATCTACCCTATCAAGAGTCTTCTCTGGGCCTGGAGGGATGGCTCAGCCGTTAAAGGCTAGGCTCACAACCAAAAATATAAGAGTTCGGTTCCCAGCACCCACGGCTGTCCCTCCAGGTACCTTTAAAAAAAAATAAAATAAATAAAAAAAAAGAGTCTTCTCTGGGCCTGAACTTATCACACTCCTTGGGCTCCCTAGCACTTGGGAGGTGGAGGCAGGAGGAACAAGAGGTCAAGGTCAGCCCCATGAGAGTCCAGACTCACAAAACAAAACAAAACACTACATACAAGAATACTTCCAGGAAAGCTTCCAGATATACACACACAGATTCATGCATATATCCAGCAGCTCAAATATACATGTACTTATAAAAATATAAGCAAATCGAAGAACCATTCCCTCAACCTACACTGGATGTCACTCATGTAAGATATACACATTTGTACATTCATGTCAGCTGATACTAAGAATCCATCACCCTCATGTCACCATGCATTCTACGGTACATGTGTTCATAAACATTCATGTCATCATGCATTCTACAGTACATGTGTTCACATACATTCATGTCATCATGCATTCTACGGTACATGTGTTTATATACATTCATGTCATCACGGTACATGTGTTCATATACATTCATTATTCACTAACTCTCCCATGAGAAAGTACGCCTTTTTATGAGTATACACACAGTTTCATAGGAAAACCATGTAAAGCTGCTCCCTCTGCACCAGCATCTTGAAGGACTTAAGCTGAGGCTTTTACACTAGGTTGTGGCTACTGACTCCCTCTAACTGTAACATGGGAGGCGCTTCCTCTCTGTTCAGTCTTGGAGTCAGTAACGTTCCTGAACAATGAATCTTGCTCACAGTCATCTCCAGCTCTTGAAGACTGGCAGACCAGCGAGGGAAGAAAGAAAAAGGCTTGCCTAGGCTTACAAAGCAGGGAAGCACCTAACAGAATCGGGATCTGAGGCTCCAGCCACCAGGTTTGAGGGGCTCACTGTCTTGCTGCTAGAAGGCTGCTGGCAGACCAGTCTCCAAGCTGGATCCCGGAGCTGCCCAGACCCCTTCCCAGTGCCCAAGCCTCACCATAGCAGACAAGACGGGTCGTCTCTCGACTGGCCAGGGGTGTGTTGCACAGGCGGCAATTGGGGTTGTAGTCACTATCTTGTAGCCACTGCAAGTAGGACTGCACGATGCACTGGAGTGGGACAGAGATGTCACAACTGGTGTCCAGGTTCCTGCCTTGTTTTTCTGTTTAGCCAGTGAGCATGAACTGAATACCTACTGAAGGCCCAGTAGAGAGAACTATAACCAAGTCCTTGTCCTTGGGTAGCTTACAATCTAGCTAGAGTACCTCATGGATTTGGAAGGAGCCCATCTTGTCTTCCCACCCAGTGCCCTGTTCAGCCACTGCTCCAAACGACCCACCTTGGCGTGATTGGCTACTAGACAGTGCTCGCAGACGTTGACTCGGTGTTCAAAACAAAACAGGTTTGTCACCTTCCTCTTGGGACACTTGCAAAGTCCCATGATCGATCCTAGGGAGACGGTCTGAGTTAGCAGGAAACCAGGTTCTGATGACTGCCACTTTGTTCTCACCAATCCAGTTCGTTTCTTTTTTTAAATCCCCCAGACCCGTTCCACACCAGTCCAAACGGCTTCAGTACGGGAAAGGCCACGCCCCCCTATACAGACCTTACTAAAGGCGACCCCTCATTCCGTCACGACCCAGCCCCTAGGCGGACTTCTCCATCAAGAACCCCAAAATCACCAACCCCGCCCCCAAAACCCCACCCCCTCTTGGCCCCGCCCCCATCAGGCAGACCCCATTCTGGGTCTCAGAGAACCTCCGCGATACCGGTCGCGACGAGTTGCGAAGGGTGGTGGGAAGCGCGGAAGATCGGAGACTGCGTTGACCCACTCCGGTAGCTGAAGCTCTGCTCCCTTCGGCTCCGGCCGCTCTGATTATCCCTCCGCTGCCACGTCTCTTCCGGGTGCGGCGCACACTGATGACGCCACAGCGCTCCCAGGCCACGCCTCGGCTTTACGCAAGACGTAAACCTTTGACTACAAAGAGGTTGTCCAAGGGCCGGCCTTCTTCTTGCGTCACTTCCGCTTCCTTCCTCTTTAGGCGGGTAATTTGAACGTTTGCGGACACAAGCTTCCCGGTTGGCGCGAGCGTAAGTTGGCAGCCGCGGCGGAGACTGAACCGGATCGTGGACATGTCGGAGCGGCGAACGCGGTCCGGAGGGGCCGCCCAGCGGCCGGGTGAGCGGAGGGCGCGCGAGAGCTACGGTAAGGCCACGTCGTTTGGGGAACGAAGCTTAGCTCCCCTTGGAAGACGCCCGCTTTTCCGAACTCGTCAAGCATCTTGTTTCGTTTGATTGTTGTCTTATTTTAACTCGAACCAAGTTTTGCTTATCCTTAAACATGTTTCCTTTCCAGGAGTCAGGACTCCACTTACTAAGTCTTCTAAGAGGTCCCAGCGGAAATCTGGCTCAGATCTTCCAAACATCCTTCCTGAAATTTGGCCGAAGGTACGATTCGAATTCCTCAGGTTCTGACCAAGAGGGCTTTGAATTAATGTAAAGCTTATGGTAATCTCTCGTCCCCTTTTCAGACACCTCATGCGGCTCCGGTCAGAAAGCCAATCGTCTTGAAGAAGATCGTGGCTCACGCAGTAGAGGTGAGGAACCGAGAGAGGGATTTGGGAGTGAGATGTCAAAACTGGGCTTAGCTGTTGATTGACGGGTTGATGTTATCCCTACAGGTCCCATCTGTCCACACGCTTCGAAGGAGTCCTAGGGTGAGTTCAGTTCCATCTCCTTATTTGTGTGGGATCCAGTTTACCTTAGAAATAAGGGTACAGCCAGGTGGTGGCGGTGCAGGCCATTATCACAGCACTTGGGAAGCAGAGTCCAGTCTGGTCTACAGAGTGAGTTCCAGGACAGGCTCCAAAGCTACACAGAGAAACCTTGTCTCGAAAAAAAAGAAAGAAAGAAAGAAGCGAGGGAGGAAGGAAGGAAGGTTAGAGGAAGGTTAGACATACTACATATTAAGCACTATTTGTACCCAGGCAGCTGAGAACAATTTGCCTCTTGCGACCTTCATGAATTTTCACCTTAGGTCTCACTGTGTAACCTGTTATCCTGAATTGGAAGTTGCTAAAGACCAGGCTGGTGTCAAACTTGAAGATCCAACTGCCTCAGTCTCCTTTCTTGTTTGTTTTGTTTTTGTTTTGTTTTGAGACAGGGTTTCTCTGTAGCCCTGGTTGTCCAGGAATTCACCCTATAGACCAGGCTTGGCCCTAAGAGTTCTGCCTGCCTCTGCCCCCCGAGTGCTAGAATTAAAGGCATCGGCCACCACTGCTGGACTATAATTCAACTTTTAAAGAAAATAGTGAAAATGCTCTAAAAATGAGCCAGGCAGTGGTGGTGCACACCTTTAATCCCAGCACTTGGGAAGCAGAGGCAGGTGGATCTCTATGAGTTCGAGGCAAACCTGGTCTACAGGGTGAGTTCCAGGACAGCCAGAGGCGAACCAAAAAACAAACCAAAAAAAAAAAACAAAAAACAAAAAACACTGAGTTATGCCCTAACCACAGGTCTTCTATAAACCATTTTGCATTGGTGGCACACATCTTTAAACCCAGAACTCTAGGTTTAAAGGTCTTTGGGTTCCAGGACAGCCAGGACTACATAAAAAATACTATCTTGAAAAACAAACAAAAAAATCTGTTTTGCTTTCATTGTTTATTAATGGTTATAGAATGAGTTATGTTTGGAGTCTGCAAAGATGGCTCTGGTTGCCAGGAAGTGGTAGCATGAGCCTTTAACTTCAGCACTCTGAAGGAAGAGGCAAGTGTATCTCTGAGTTCAAATATAAAAGATGAGTTATATGTATGTGCTTTTGTAATTTTGGCAGAACTTTTAAAGACTTTGGTTGTTTGCCCAAGAACACCTTTTGTTTTTGTTTTGAGATTGTGTTTCCTATAGCCAAGTCTGGCCTTGAACTTAGTATGTGGTTAAGGCTGGTTTTGAATTCCTGTTCCTCGAGTGCTGTAATTACAGGTGTGCACCAGTTACCAGTATACCCAATGATATTTTGCTCTTTGAGCAATGTTTTGTTTCTGTGTTTGTCTAGTTGACTTGGTACTCAAGGCTATCTTCCTTCCTAAGCCCCAGAGTGCTGGAATTATAGACGTGAGCCATAGTCCCCAGTTTGGATTTGTTATTCTTTTTGGTTTTTTGAGACAGGATTTCTCTGTAGCTTTGGGGCCTGTCCTGGAACTAGCTCTTGTAGACCAGGCTGGCCTCGAACTCACCTCCTGAGTGCTGAGATTTCTTATTCTGTTGTGTGGTGCTGGAGGTCAATCCCGGGATAGTGCACATGCTAAGCAGGTGCCCTGCTACCAAGACAACCCAGCCAGCTTTTAACTGAGGTACTGACAGAGTAAAACTGGAATGTAACAGAAAGATTTCTCTGGAGGTATGTGAGTGATTTCATTGGAGTCCTAGGACCAAGGGAGAGAGCCTTGAGTTAAGATGGTGAGGGCTCAACTAAGATATGACTGTATAAATGCCCTCTCACACTTCCCAGAGAGCTTCCTGACTACTAATTCACTGACACATTTCTCTGGAAATATCTATATCAACATCTGATAGGATACTCATTTACACATTTGATATCTTCCCCTCTCTAAACATAACTACCGTGAAAGTGGGTCTACATAGAGAGACTCTGTCTCAAAAAATAAAATCTGAGTGGCTTTGTGGATGCAGACAATGGGGATACAATAGTCCGGTGGTCCCACTTCTTTGTTTTCAAGTTAACTTTCTCTATGTAGCTATGGCTGTTCAGAAACTCGATCTAGACCAAACTGGTCTCAGTTCACAAAGATCGCCTGCCTCTGCTTTCAAGTGCTAATTGAAGGCATGTGCCACCACACCCAGCTGAAATGTTCCTTGGGGACTCTCCTTCCTTGTATTAGTGCATGAGTGTCATTGGATTTGTTCTTTTATTAGGTCTTGGCCTCCAGAAAACTAGGTACCAAGTTCATGTTCATTAGTTCAGTGACCCTCCAGTGTGCAAGGTTCTGCTGTACCTTGGGCGTTGACACAATCAGCTAGATAGCTGGTGACCCCGATCCTCAAGAAACTTCCCCCATCTGGGTGGCCTGACTGAGTTAACTAGTCACAGGCCAACTGTTACTATATAATAGAGATAGCTATATTGCTGTACTAGAAGTAAAAAGGGTATTGTAGCAGAATGGCTGCAAATGAAAGTCTGGGCTAATCTGAATCCCAGGTGAAGGACAGCCTTCCTGAGGAGGACCTGTTTAAACTGAAAGTGGGGGGGTATAGTAACCAACACATGAGCCTCAAGTACATGTCAGGTTAAGTTTTTTGCTGAACAGCTTTGCTGTGGCTCCATTGGCCTTGGGTCAAAGCCTTTATGGTAGCCTATGTGTACAGAGGTGGTATCGCAGTGTACCAAGTGTTAGGATTAAAGGTGTGCACCACCACTGCCCGTCTTGTTTTGCTTTTTAAACATGGCCACCCCCAGTTTTCCGTCTTGTGTTTTCAGTGCTGCAGTGGAGGCACTGATGCCAATGCTGCTTTCGTTTTCCCTGATAGATTCCCAGTGCCCAAAACATTCCCTGGTGTAGGGCAGGTCACCAGTATAGAGGTTTATTCGTCAAGTGAACATTTTAGAAAACTCTTTAGCAGCTATGTGGCGATGACTCATAGAGGGTGAGATTGGATGCGTGAATGCAGGCAAAACAGTGAGGAGGCCATCAAGCCAGTATTGTTATGCTGGGACTTACTGTCAGCTGGAGATGGTGGCGCTATGCCAGGTACGTTGACTGTGGCAGCAAGTATAGCAAATGTAATGAATCTTGTCATGTGTGCAGCTTCTCAGGAGCAACGATGCTTCTCTTCTCAGCAATGGGGTAGACCCCAGGGTTTGTGCATTATGAGCATGTGCTCCATGACTGTGTTCATTGCTCAAAATCTGTCCTGAGTTGGGTGGTGGTGGCGCACACCTTTAATCCCAGCACTCGCTAGGCAGAGGCAGATGGATCTCTGTGTTTGAAGCCAGCCTGGTCTACAGAGTGAGTTCCAGGACAGCTAGGACTGTTTCACAGAGAAACCCTGTATTAGCAGGGGCGGGGCAGGAGGGAGACACGACACTATCCTAGACTAGGGGTAGAGCTCCTCAGCACAGCGGTTGCCTAACATACACAAGGCCCTGTGTCCCATCCCCAACACCGTAAAATACACAAGAAACAAAACTGTCTTCTGGGCAGTCTTTCCCTTCCTGAATCCCCTAGCTGACAAGGGTTCTCTCTCCTGTCCCGATACAGATCTCTTTTATCTTGGAAAAAGAAAACAGCCCTCCTCTCAAGGTCCCTACTAAGGAAGACCTCTTCAAGACTTGCAGTGTCCCTGGTACCCCCACCAGCACCCCAGTGCTGTACGCTCAGAACGTTGACTCTAACTCCGGGGAGGGAGACCTGGACACCAGAGACTTGCAAATGTCCCAGAAAGTCAGACGATCATACAGTCGGCTGGAGAGCCTCAGTTCTGCCTCAACCTCCACTCCTGGCCGCCGGTCCTTCTTTGGCTTTGAGGGACCTGAAGACTTGCCTGGAGTCTCACCTGTTGTGTGTTCAAAGTTAACTGAAGTCCCAAAAGTACCTGTGAAGCCCTGGGTTCCAGACACAACCCTTCCTGGTATCTCTCCTCCAGTGGTGAAAGAGAAGCGAAAGAAGAAGGTGCCAGAGATCCTGGTGAGTAAAGGGCAGGGTCTCTCCTACAGGTGCACTGTACAGGCAGGGAGTATGTGGGCCAGGAATCAGCTCTGGCTGACATGACTGCCTTCCCCGCTCATGTGCCCTCATTTCTTTCCACCAGAAATCGGAGCTGGATGAGTGGGCTATGGCCATGAATGCTGAGTTTGAAGCTGCTGAACAGTTTGATCTTCTGATTGAATGAGATAAAGTGGGGGTACCCCCAGCCAGGCTCTCACCTCTCTCTCGTGCATATTGCCCTTGAGTAGAATAGGACTTGTAAGGTCCTCTTTATTGGCCTTATTATCCAGAAAGGTGTTGCTGGCCCCTTGTTATATTGTGATTAGTTAACCTGGGCAGTCCACCTCCACAGTGTTGGAGATGAGAAGCCACTTCTGCTTTGAGTCCGTACTGTCAGAAACGGGTTCAGCCGTGTGCTCTCTCATGTTGCCCTCTGGTGACTTGGAGTCTGGCCACCAACCAGTAAAGGCGTTCTATAGAGTCTAATAGGGAACTCACGGGCTGGGGAGCTGGACATGGAGTCTGGGGTATGAAAAAGGCAAAAGGAGTCATAGTTGGGTTTTTGTTTTTAACACATATGACTATTACATAGGAACTGTTCGTGTCTGTGTTCTGCTGTTAGCACATTGGTGAACGAGGTACCGATGCTTAGGGCACAGTGGGCATACTTCATGGTGGGGGCTCCGGATGCCACCAACTCAAAGTTTCTGGTCTCTCTTTGATCATCCTTTCCTCACCCACATCTCTTTCTTTCAAATGAGCTGCAGTCTCAGCTCTAGGATGTGGTTTTCTGCAACTACGCTTAGAACTACACTCATGATCCAGACAGCTGCAACACTGAAGGCTGTGAGCTTAACTATTACACTCTCACATGAGACCATTCCGAGGGGGTTACTGGGAATTAAAATGCGAGTCTCGTGGTCTCTCTCTGCGGAAATGTCTCCTGCCTACCACTCCTCTCTGGTAGAAGATACGGTTTCAAAGGCCATTGGACTTTTGCAAGTTCATGGGAGGAGAAGCTGTGGGGAATGAGAACTGTAAGCAAGCACACTTACACCAGGATGGTTTTGGGTGGAGCACACCTGAAGAATTTGTCCTTGCTAGTTCTGCTGGACCCTGCTGATTGCTGCCATTACTGCAAACCTGTCTGCCTTTGTGGAACTAATGTGCAACCCAAAGGGAAAGATTTAATGTAAATAAACTTTTCAATAGTTTTTACCTGTTTGTAAACTGTGTTCTTTCTATTTGCTCAAAAAGACAGAGCTGCTGGTGTGAGTCCTGAATGCCAGGGCTGCTCCTCCTCCAGCCTGACTTTCCTCTAATGACTGACTGATCCCTGTTCCTCTGAGCTTGGGCTTCTTGGAATGAAGGCCCAAGCCTCCCTATCCCAGGAGGGAAGACTTGGATCTGGTCGGGCTGCTAAGTCCTCTTTCCCAGGGAAGGTATATGAAATTGGCCACACTCCAGCCCTGTTCCTCTTTTCCAAAAGCTCCATCCAGCGTAGGAGCCTGTGGCTCGGGTATAACAGCCCCTCCAAGATGCTGCCCAGCAGCTGGGCTGTAATCACCCCTGAGCAGCAGACCAAAGATGTGATTGCTAAGACTGGTGTGTGCAGATGTGAGTATTCCAGCTCATCCTCTGGTGAAATCTAAGCCGTTACATTTTCTCTATACCATCTCAGCTAGACTGGCCAACAAGACCCCATCCGCCTCTCACCCCTTCCCTGGTTCTAGGGCTGCAGATACAGGGCATCACATCTAACCTTAAGGTGTGGGCGGGGTCTGAACTCAGGTCCCCGTGCTCACACAGCAAGCACTATGCACTGGGTCCTCTCCTTTGCCTACACCATCATGCTGCAGACTCGTAGTGCATCTAAATATTGCAATTTAAGACTGGCCACAACTTTGGGGTTGTAATTGGATTTACACCCTGCAGATGGCCTGGCCGTGGAATCCTGAGATGACTGTAGGTACAAACCTTTGTTAGATAAGGCTAACAACCCAGGCTTGTTCCTTGACATCAAAGGTAGAAGAACTGGCTCCTGAGAGCCATCTTCTGACCTCCAAATGAAGACCATGCACAGATGCACAGTGGCAATAAACTTTCCAAAAAACTGAAAGTTGTATGTATTGATCACTTTTCTCCTCGTGTGACAAGACACCTAACAAAAAAACGGCTCAAATAAGGAAGGGTCATCTTGACTCACAGCTTGAGGATGTGGTCCAACGCGGTGGGGAAGTCATGGCAACAGGAGTCTAAGGAGTCTGGTCACGGCCTTTGCATTCACGCTGCAGGGCCAGATGAACGCCAGTGCTCAGTTCTCTTTCTGTTTTTCATTCTGACTAGGACCCCAGAAGCCCCTGGAATGGTGGCAGCCATATCTAGGATGGGTCTTCCTCAATTTACCCAACGTAGGAATTTCTTCAGCAGTATACCAGGAGTTGTGTCTCCTAGGTGATTCTAGATCGTCAAGGTGACAGTATTAACCAACACTGGGCATCCTGTATTGTATTTGCTGAGGGCTTTACCATCTGGGCTGGACCATGGTCTGGCAACACTAGCTTGGGGGTTCTGGGGGAAGCGAGTCACCAAGCAGGTCTGTCTCCCTCAGTCTCCCACAGGCAAATTGAGTGCCCATCCCAAGCAGGCCTTGAGAGCAACAATGCAGCCTGCTAAGCCAGAGCCAGAGCCACAGCTAGAAGAAACTGGGGACTCCAGGGAGCCCAGCGTGGAGGTGACAGCAAGCCCTGGGAGCTCCCTCACTTACTGCTGATCCTAAGACAGAAGTCAAGGGAGAGAGGTGGGCTACAGAAATTCTTCCTTAGCCTGGGCCAAGACCTGTAGTCCCGATCCTCAAATTCCTCCCTCTTGCTGCAGCCTTTAGCTGCTGGACCATCTCGGGTTCTTCTCCAGCCGGGTCTCCTAGGAGAAAACTCTCATTGGCCTTGTCCTTTCCACTGCTTCCTCTCCATAAGCTGCGGGGGCGGGGGCACAGAGACCAAATCCCTGTAAAGCAGAGAGCTGGAAAGGGCCAGGAGGGGAGGGAGGACTAGACCTGTGGGTTGGAAGCCTCATGTCACTTCAGTCACCGAGGCACCTTCTCTGCAAAGCCATCTTCGGGGCCAAGGGTGGACCTGCAATCGGAGCCCACTGTCACATTCCTGTCCACACTCCTGAACACTCCTGAGCCCAAAGATGCTGAATCGTAAGGCTGCCTGCGTGGGTGTGTTTCTGTGAGTGGGTGGGTATTACCTGGGGGAGGGGGAGGACAACCCCCCCATCTATTCACACCTGTGCCAGGTTTAAGCTTTGGGCTGAACCACAGGAAGGCCCACACATGACTGATGGAGCTGGGTTTCAGTCTGGGAACTAACAACTGGCCTTCAGGCCCTGAGGGCTGCTCTCACCTCCCCAGGGACACTGAGACACTGGAGAACCGGTTCCTGGGTCAGGAAGACTGGGGCCCTAAGCGGGCTTCAAGGGAGATACAGAATTTGCAGAGGGACTGCCAGAGGTGAGCTTCAGGGACATGTGGGGTGAAGTTTGCAGGACAGGATTGTGAAGCTAGCTCTGGTTTTGGCTGGTACTGTGGCTTCGGGTACCTTGCCCTGAATCCCCTGCCTGTGTTCTCTTTTGTCTTTATTCTGTCCCACTTCAGATAACCTCCTTGCCAGCAGGGCCCTCACCTCCCAAGCAGAAGTGTCCTACAGGATCAGGAACTGTCCCACTGGTTAGTGACCACAGCCTTGGCTGAGTGGCAGGAGTCTAGTATGTTGAGGATTCTTACCTTTAGCTGTCAAGGAACGATATAGGTAGCTGGCTGTGAAGGGTTCCGTTCTGTGATGTCAGCCAGCGGAGCCTGGGGTTTGCTCAATTCTGCCTGGTAACAGAGATCCTGGGGTGGAAATGATGCCTCTCCTCCAGGGTTTCCTGCCTTTAACCATGGATCTGAGCAATCCAGGTTCCCACTCACACGCTGCTGGCACCGAGCTCTTAGGCAGAACTGATCCATAAACCAACCTGCTGGCATAAAGTCCTGAACTAGTCTGACACAGCTCAAAGAGATGGCCAGTCTTCTGCCCTGCTCCATAGAGACCTCAGAGGACTCTTGGCCCAGCCCAAGTGATGAGCAGCCTGCCTCTTGCTAAAGAAGAGTTGGGTGTGAGCACACAACTGCAACCCCAGCATTTGGAGGTGGAAGCAAGAAGACCAGGGGTTCAACAACATCCTCTCTAGAAGAATATTAGGCCAGCCTGGGCTACATGAGACCATGATATGAATAAATAACAAATAAGAGTTGAGGATGTAGCTAAGCTGGTTGACCTTTTGCCTTTCAGGAAGCTAGTATCATATAAACTAAGCAAGGTGGTGCAAGCCCTAATCTCAGCAGGTGGGGTGGAAGTAGAAGGTCAAGAGTTCAAGGTCATCCTTGTCTCTACAGTAAGCTAGAAGCTAGCCTGGTGATGTGAGAGTCTGGCAAAATTAATTAATTACTTAAAGTGAAACAAAAATCATTGCCGGCCAGTGGTGGCACACACCTTTAATCCTACCACTTAGGAGGCAGAAGCAGGTGGATCTCAGTGAGTTCAAGGCCAGCCTGGTCTACAAAGTGAGTTCCAGGGCAGCCACAACTGTTATACAGAGAAACCCTGTCAATAAATAAATAAATAAATAAATAACTAGAAGGACCTGGAGAGTAGCTCAGCAGTTAAGAACACACTGCTATTGCAGAGAACCCAGGTGTAGATTCCAGCATCCACACAGACGCTCACAACTGTATATAACTCTAGTCCCAGGGGGTCGTCGTGACAGCTTCTGGCCTCTGAGGGTCCCAGGCACAGGATCAGGCAAAGCATTCATAATATAAACTAGAAATGAGCAAAAGTAAAAATAAATTGGGGGGGGGAGTTTGAGACAGGGTTTCATTCTCTAGCCTTGGTTATCCTGGAACTCACAGAGATCCACCTGCCTCCACCTCCTGAGTGCTAGGATTAAAGGCCTGAGCCACCACCACCCAGTAGAAATAAATAGATCTTATAGAAAATGCTGGGTGGCTTAAGGGATGGCTCAGTGGTTAAGAGTACTACTGACTGCTCTTCCAGAGGACCTGGGCCCAATTGTCCGTAACTTCCAGGGCACGTAACACACTCAACACCAGTGCACATATTTTTTTTTTAATTTTTTTAAAGATTTTTTAATTTATTATTTATGTACACAGTGTTCAGCCTCCATATATGCCTGCAGGTCAGAAGAGGTCACCAGATCTCATTACAGATGGTTGTGAGCCACCATGTGGGTTGCTGAGAAATTAACTCAGGATCTCTGGAGGAGCAGTCAGTGCTTTTAACCTCTGAGCCATCTCTCCAGCCCTGCACATAAATTTTTTAAAGTAAATAAATAAATAAATGAGAAAGCTGGGCGTGGTGGCCCATACCTTTCAATCCCAGCACCAGGAGGCTGAGGCAGGCAGTTCTCTGTGTGTTTGAATCCAGTCTTGTGAGTTCCAGGCCAGCCAGGGCTACATAATGAGACCCTGTCTCTACAACAACCAAAAAAAGATAAAAACAAAAACCAAAAAAGAAAGAAAAGGCAGCTGATGCAGGTTATATGAAAGGAACAGTTCCTTCTGCGATGGTGATGTGGGCAAGTTCAGCCTCCCGAGGAGGCTCCAGCTAACAGAGCTGATGCAGGAAGTCTGTGTATGGGAGGGGTGACTGGGAAGAGAACTTGGGGCTCAGGTGCCTGTCCTTTACCCTAGGCTTCAGGAGGCGTTGAACGTTAACCAAAAGGACAACCTGGCCCTTGAAGAGAAGCTGCAAAACCTGGTGAGCCCCTCAGCCCCAGAGTCATTCTTTTGCCTTGGCTCCTCCCTGCCCCCAGCCTCACCCCTTTGCTCCTGGGGCTGAAGGTAGTCCTGCTAGCCAGCCACTCACCTCAGGCCCTGCAACCCTTTGTCTCAGGCTACCTCAGTGTACGAGGACCTGGAGGGAACTCTGCTCACTCTAAAGGACTCTAGACTCACCCAGGAGACAGCTGAAGAGGAAGCAGAGGACACCCAGGAGAAAGCAGAGGACACCCAAGAGGAAGCAGAGGTCACTCAGGAGGAAGCAGGGGTCACCAGGGAGGAAGCAGAGAACACCCAGGACACCTTGGCTCTTGAACAACTGAAGAGGGCTTCTGCCCAGCGCTTCTCCCGTGAACCTCCCATATCGTTGCCAGCAGCTACCCTGTTCCCAGAAGATAGTGTTTCACAGGAACAGCAATCAGCCCTGGCCAGCCCTAAAGGCAGAGAATGGATACTTCCTCAGGAGTCTGTTGTCAACCCCTCTCTAAGCCCCAGCAATAAAGATCCCCACTGAGTTGCAGAACCAAGCATCCATGAGTCTGGCACTTGGGTGGGTAGAATCCAGCACTCCAAGGAGAGCCGGGTCCTGCCTTCAGACTCATTCAAGGAATGTTCTGGGGTAGGTTCAGGGAGGATAGGGTGTCTAAGGTCAGGAAGGGTTTCTTCCCACCTGTGACCTCTGACAAGCCACCACTCCTGTAGGTCATGGGGAGGAAGCAGAAAGACAGTGGAAACTCCCTAGCGCCTGGAGATGCATTTAGATCTGGGCTCTGGCTGCTAGAGGGCTTTGCCTCTCGGTATTTGTCCAGCCTGGGCGACCACCATCTCTGAAGGGAGAGACACAAAATGTGTGTCTGTGCGCGCGCGCGCGTGTGAAGTCCCAGACTCCAATGCTGGACTGGGGATGGGGTGTGACTTAATGAGTGACACTCTTTCACACAAGCGGGAGGACCCAAGTACGAATCCCCAGAATCCACAAAACAGTGGGATGCATATGAGTGGCTATACTCCCAGCACTGAGGAGAAACGGAAGGTGGAGACAGAAGAACCCAGAGCTCCCAGGCAGCTGACCTGGCCTGTATGGGGGAAAGAAAAGATAACCTTTATAAACTCACACCATGACTGCTCCATGGCGTGGTTAAGGGAGAAGGTTTTGTAGATTTTGTTTGTTTGGTTTTCTTTTTTCTTTTTTTTCCGAGACAGGATTTCTCTGAGTAAACAGCCCTAGCTTGTCCTGGAACTCACTTTGTAGACCAGGCTGGCCTCAAATTTACAGAGATCTACCTGCCTCTGCCTCCCGAGTACTGGGATTAAAGGGGTGCGCCACCACTGCCCGGCTAAAGGAGAGGTTTTTACTGTGGAAATGAGAGAGAGAAAACAGTCAGAGACATTAACAAGAGTCCAGAGCAGAGAAAGAAGTTAACTGAACACGGTCAGTAGACTGGGCTTGATCAGGGCTTTCTTTCTTTTTTCTTTCTGGTTTTTTTGAGTTACCTCTTTTTTAAAATTTTATTGATATTTATTGAGCTCTACATTTTTCTCTGCTTCCCTCCTGCCTCTCCCCTCCCCCCTTTAATCATCCCCCAAGGTCCCCATAATCCCAATTTACTCAGGAGATCTTGTCTTTTTCTACTTTCTACTTCCCATGTAGATTATGTAAGTCTCTCTTAGTGTCCTCATTATTGTCTACTACTCTGAGATTGTGGTTTGTAGGCTGGCTTTCTTTGCTTTATGTTTAAAAACCACCTATCAGTGAGTACATGTGATAATTGTCTTTCTGTGTCTGGGTTACCTCACTCAAAATAATGTTTTCTAGCTTCATCCATTTTCCTGCAAAATTCAAGCTGTTGTTATTTTTTTCTGCTGTGTAGTACTCTGTGTGTAAATGTACCACATTTTCCTTATCCATTCTTCGGTCAAGGAGCATTTAGGTTGTTTCCAGGTTCTGGCTATGACAAACAATGCTGCTATGAACATAGTTGAGCACATGTCCTTGTGGCAAGATTGAGCATCCTTTGAATATATACCCAAAAGTGGTATTACTGGGTCTTGAGGAAGGTTGTTTCCTAATTTTCTGAGAGATCACCACACTGACATCCAAAGGGGTTGTACCAGCTTGCATTCCCACCAGCAATGCAGAAGTGTTCCCTTTTCCCCACAACCTCTCCAATATAACTGTCATCAGTGTTTTTTATCTTGGCCATTCTTACAGGTGTAAGATAGAATCTCAGAGTTGTTTTGATCTGCATTTCTCTGATGACTAAGGATGTTGAACATTTCCTTAAGTGTCTTTCAGCCATTTTAGATTCCTCTGTTGAGAGTTCTCTGTTTAGATCTGTACTCCATTTTTTTACTGGATTATGTGATCTTTTGGTGTCCAATTTCTTGAGTTTTTTGTATATTTTGGAGATCAGACCTCTGCCTGATATGGGGTCAGTGAAGATCTTTTCCAATTCTGTAGACTGTCTTTTTGCCTTGTTGACCGTGTCCTTTGCTTTACAGAAGTTTTTCAGTTTCAGGAGGTCCCATTTATTAATTGTTTCTCTCAATGTCTGTGCTGCTGGGGTTATATTTAGGAAGTGGTTCCCTGTGTCAATGCATTCAAGTGTACTTCCAACTTTCTCTTCTATAAGGTTCAGTGTGGCTGGCTTTATGTTGAGGTCTTTGATCCATTTGGACTTGAGTTTTGTGCACAGTGGTAGATATGGCTCTATTTTCATTTTTCTACATGTTGATATCCAGTTATGCCAGCACCACTTGTTAAATATGCTTTCTTTTTTCCATTTGATATTTTTTGCTTCTTTATCAAAGATCAGGTGTTTGAAGATGTGTGGATTGATATTCGGATCTTCTATTCGGTTCCATTGGTCCTCCTGTCTGTTCTTATGCCAGTACCAGGCTGTTTTCAGTACTGTAGCTCTGTAGTAGAGTTTGAAGTCAGGGATTGTGATGCCTCCAGAAGTTCTTTTATTGCACAGGATTGTTTTGGCTATCCTGGGTTTTTTGCTTTTCCAAATGAAGTTGAGTACCTTTCTTTCGAGGTCTTTGAAGAATTTTGCTGGGATTTTGATGGGCATGATCAAGGCTTTCTGTAAGAGAAGGGGCAGTGGTGGAGCACAGTTTTAATCCCAGCACTCAGGAGGCAGAAGTGAAGCGACCATGCCACTACAGGTCAGTCCGCGAGTCAGGAAAAGGGCTGGAGACTTAAAAACAGAAAGACACACAGACCGAGACAGACACAGGGGACACAGGTCACCCTTGATACAAGAATGCCAACTTTGTTGTGCTCAGGGCAGCTTATATAGGGCTTAGGCCATGCCCCAGCTCTCAGATCTTTCAGCTGCAGACCTACCAGAATCCACTCCCCTGCCATCAGGGTCTCGTGCTCAAAGCAGAGAAAAACAAGTTGTTGACAGGAAATTCAGGGTCTGGGTCTGCAGCCCCCACCAGCTCCCAACATCTCCCTCTTTCTATATAATTAAACCAAGGGTTTGGACTGGCGTGGGCGTGGCACAAATATAAGGACAGGGAGCAGCCAACCGCATGCTCCAAGTGTTTTTATAAAAGGAGGTCAAACTGAAAAATGCCCTGGAGAAAAATTACAAACAGTGGTAGCCATAGCTGTCGTCCGACGGGTGGCAATTCAGTGGTCTAGCAGCCACCACAGCCATGGACGACTCAGCATTACTCACTGGAACAAGCACCAAGCAAGGAACATAGCCCACAGCGGCAGTCATCTCATTAGCCCAACAGCTGTTCAAAAGATAGAATACTTGAGAACAGTTAAGGGTAGAATCATAAATCATAGTACTGGGCCAACAGCTGGCCCAAAGAAAAAAAATTCAGCAAAACTAAAACACAAACTGCTAGATACCCGGGGTGTACTATACTACTATATTCCCTCTTTTTTGTTTTGTGAATATAGTCTTTGAGAGTTCCACGAGCCTGTTCCACTATGGCCTGTCCCTGGGAATTGTAAGGTATTCCTGTCTTACGAAGGATGTCATAACTGTCACAGAACAATCGAAAACCTTTACTGATATAAGCTGGTCTGGTCGGTGCACCCAGAGAATAGGTCCCTCCTGGTCTGGTCGGTGCACCCAGAGAATAGGTCCCTCCTGGTCTGGTCAGTGCACCCAGAGAATAGGTCCCTCCTGCCAAGAGACTGCAGTGGGCTGCAAGACTGTGCACAAGACCAGCAGAAGCAAAGGCTGGCAATAATCAATACAATTCAGATGGGTTTCTGCTAACAGCTTGTTCCACTAATCTAAGATGGCCTTCAGGTGTTAGTAGTCTGGGGATGTGGGGCTCGAATCACCTCTCAAGATTTTAAATAAGGGTTTTCTAATCTCCCAAAAGCTGTCAAAAGTCATTAAGAGTGCAGAGGTGATCTAGTCTTAAGAATGACCTTTGTGGTCGAACTCTAATCTGTAGGAGCCAACAGCCCAAACACCGAAAAGGGAACACAGTCACAGTCTGCATTTTTCGGGGGGCAACAACTAAACCAGACCGCTGCAGTTCCTCATAAAGTGCCTGCAGCCCTGCATGCAAATCACATCCCCCCCCGCCCCCACCCCCCAGTCTACAACAAGAATACAATTTAACCAATGAATGACACATAGCTGGGGACGTTGCCCCCCCACTCCACTGCCCTGGCACAAAGCCAGACCATCGGGGGCAACACAACCCACCAATACCTTTGGTGCAGCTCTCTGAAATCAACAGAGGGAACACTGAAAGCAAATTCGGGTGAATCCTCAGGTTGTAAATGAACAGCAAAAAGCAATCCTTGAGGTCAACCACCACCACGTGATAATCATCATTAGGGATAGCCACAAGTTTTGGCAATCCTGGCTGTAATGATTTTATAATCTTAACCTGCCCAAAGTCCTGCCAAGTCGCCAACTACCAGATTTTTTTTTAATATAACAAATATGGAGGTATTCCAAGGGAAAGTGGATGAGACTATATGTCCAGCAGCTAACTGCCTTTGCATAAGGGCAGAAAAGCCAGCAGCTCTACCCACACTGGCCTAGCCTTTAATGGCTGAGTCATCTCCCCATTCCCTGCCCAGGGCTAAAGCCCTGGTCTCCTAACATACACTGTCTTGCAAAATATCTCTTCCCCACAAATTGAGGGGATGCTGGGGCTCCGGAGGTGCTTTGAGCCCGCAGTACTGGAGTGCAAACTGGTTCCTCAGTAAACTGGTTCCTCAGTGTACACGCCCAGCTGCTGACCTGCTCCCAGGGACTGACCTCACTTTACTGCCTACCCCTGCAGGGATAGTCCGCGCATCCCCGAATCCTCCCAGGGGGCTCTCCAGAACGAGGCTGATAGGCGGCCGAGACCCGCAGGGGTCCGCAAGTACCACAGGTCACCTGAGCTGGGCCAGACCCCCATTCCCGCCCCCACCACCCAGGCCGTCGATCCCACAACCTGGCACCCCCGAAGTGTACCCCAGGCTGGGCACTGACTGCCTATTGTCAGTCACTTTTTTTCTGTGTCCTGAAGAATGTCTAGTAG